TGATGTTGGTGAATACATGAATGATGATGCGTATGACTAGTTGTGGTCATTTATATTGTTGTTGCGCATCATGCATTCATTGGACAACTGTCCATTTTGATGATTTAGGACGTTGGTACAGTGATTTGGTATCAATCCCATTGTATGGATTTGGGATGTTTATGATTTTCTCTGGTTCCAAGTGGGAATCGATTCTATGATTGGGGTCTTTGGAGGGTGATGGCCATGTGTACATCAAATGAATTGGTACCATATGCATGAGTCTATGTCCTTGCACTACATCTTATGTGGCATTGCATGGTTCTTAAATTGATGATGTTGTATTGTGTTGTTGAATTTGTATGATTGTTGAGGTACTTGGAATATAATAATGATGAGTTTATGTTGTGATACTTTTGGTTTATTCTGCTATGTCTATTACTTATATCTTATATAATGATTGTGATGAACTCACCCTTTCTGCTTGAATGTTGCCTCTATGTGGGTAACGTGAAATTAATCAGGAGTAGTCCCTAAAGGCTTAGAAGAATAGATTAGAGCGTGTGTTTTATTTCCGTTGAGTCTAGAAGGTCTTGCTCTGATATGTAACATCAGGACGGGAATGCTTTGTTTTGAAAACTATTTTGTTCTTGTTTTGTTATGACATTTAAATTATTTCTATGGAGTTTAAATTATGTTGAATTGCGAACCATGAATCATGGGGCACTATGAAGTGTTTTAATGAACTTTTTTGAACTATGGTTCCGCTGCAAGTATGTGAAACTTTGATAATGGATATGTACCTGAATAATTTTGAAAACCAGTATTACGGAGAAAGACTGGCACGTATGGTTATTTCACGAATAAAATGTGACGCCCTTTTGTTGTATTACTCTAATATTATTTAAATAATTATGAATATTTTTTGGGGTTTAGAAGGGTGTTACATGGACATCTGCAGGTTCAGCATAATTGGTTTCTGCTACATAGAGAGGGTCAGAATCAACTTTCATTTGGCTTCTGTTCTTTTTGCCAAACTTCAACCTCCCTTCCTTGATAGCATTTTGAATCAAATCCATGAAAAGAAAACATTGTGAGATTTTATATCCCAAAAAGTTATGATATTTACAAAAACCTCTTTTCTTTCGTTGTTCTAACAGAGGGATTTTGGCACCAGGTGGCATTATCATCTGGCTATCCTTTACCAACAGATCAAATATTTTGTCACATTTCGTTACGTCGAAGGTGTATGTTCTTTTAGGGAACTTATCACTCTTTTCTGGTTTTGTAGGATTTTTTCCATTCGAAGGGGCTAGAACTTTGAAAGGCTATGGTGGACCTTGTTTTAATTCAGCCAGGTCTGCTTCACATTCTTCGACATCTAAAAACTCAGTGTAGGGTTCTTGTTCATCCAAACCTGTTTCGATAAATGCAACTCTTTATTTCCTATGGCTTTTGTTTTCTCTGGCCTTTTCAACCTTCAAGCGCTCCACTTGTCGAACCCTATCCGCCAATTAGTCCATATCCCTTAAATAGTGAGGATCCAATTTCTTTCTGATGGAGAAATCTAATCCTCTAGCAGCCATCTCAACTAATTCATGCTCAGGCACTTGGGTAAAGCATCTTGCCTTCAATAGGCGGAATCTGTTGAGATAATCATCAATTGGCTCGCTACACTTACGCTTGATGCTGGATAATTTACTTAGACTTATCTTTGATTTCCCTACATAAAATTGATCATGAAACAGTCTTTTTAAACGCGTCAAATCTTGGATAGAATTCGCTACAAGAGTAGTGAACCATGTGAAAGAATTTTTGGTTAATGAACTAGGAAAATATTTTATCATTAGATTTTCATTGTTTGCTATGTCCCCAACCTCAGTAAGATACCTGGCTATATGTTCGACAATTGATTCGCTGGTGTCACCAGAAAAATTTGTGAACTTTGGGACTTTCTAACCTCTGGGCAATTCAGTTTGTAAAATATATTCAGATAAAGGAGAAGTGTAATTTGGCCTAGCAAGGCCAATATTCACATCATTTTGTGCCATGATTCTTTCTACCATAGCTTCCAGATTATTGTCTGCTGCAACATTGTCTTGTCGAACTTGATATAAGACTTCATCAGTATTTTAGTTTCTATTTACCATCATAACCCTAGGTTCTGGTTTCCTTAAAATATGTGGTTCTTGCTTGGAAGGTTCGACTTTAGGTATTTCAACATTCGCAACTCTAGGCACTTTGATTACCCTTCCCTGATTCATCATATTTTCCTGGGTAGATTTCTTTGATTTTGTTGAACTTGGTTAATTATTGGGTCTTATTCTAAGATTACCCCTTGATTTTCCCTAATCCACTCCCTCTAAGGATGTTTTGTTGGTTGAGGCACACCAAAGAAATCAGGGATGGCATCATTTGCGCAACCATCTGTTGGTTCACTTGAGTGGTGTTTTGGATCAAAGGGTTAAATATTGTACCCATTGTTTGTGAAAGCATTTGGACTATTTCATGGTTACTTTCGTCCATTTGCTGCCTAATCACTACTACAAATTGATTTGTTAGATTTGGCATTTGGGAAGAAACTCCTTCAGTTTATGGTTGGACATTTCGACCTTTAATATTAACAGCAAATCCCGAACCTTGCAATGGCGAAGTAACTTCATCACATGATCTGAATATGTTGAAGTGGAATTATGTAACCCCATCATAAACGAAGATGGCATGCCATAAGGCCGCTCATAGCCGTTTTGGGGCATGGAAAAACTAGGTGGCCCCTAAGGCCTATAAAAAATATTTCCCCCTGGAGGGGGGATCCCTTGTGAACCATGAGGACCTACATAGGTCAAAAGAGGGCCGATATAAGAATTCGACTGCATTAGCGTCGAACTTGTTGATGACGGTATAGCCTCAGAAGAAGGCGTAGAAATCGTAGTTCCCCCCTGTCAAAATGACTGTGGGTGGTACTTCATTATTGTTAGAAGGATTTTGATTACTGGTTTGGCCATTATTTGCCATTTTCCTAACGTATTTTCTTTTGGGTATTTCCTTGTTATTTGTGGCTAATTTACCACTCATACGTCTCATACAACACAGAAAAATACAAAAAGATAATGAAGATTTTCAAAACTTTTCTATTGGAACATAAAAGTGATAGAAATATTGAACACATGTCCCACTGGGCGTGCCAATTTATTTACCAAGAAATTTGGTAAACAACCACTGGTCTTCCAAATCGAATAAAATTGGTGACTTGTAGGATCGACCAGATTGATCCTAAGTCCATGTGTTCTTATTTAAAACTTTTGTTCTTGAAATGAAGAATACTTTCGACAACATTCTTATTCTTTTAAGCAAAGTTGTTTTCAATTGTTACTTCGTAGGTATTAATGTAATGCTTTAAAGAAAAGACTGGAATGTAAAAGGCTTTCGACTAAAATTTAAAGGGAATATATAAAACTTCAATTAAAGTTGAATGACAATAAACATAAAATTGGTGCATCATACATACATTTACACAATTCGTTTCTCGAACGCTAGTACTTTGAGTAATTTAGAGTATTTTGTACAAAGATGTGAACACATTGAATCCTAACGCTAAGACCCTTATTTATACTAATTCGACCAAAATGGCCTCTAAATAAGATGTTGCCATGTTCGACATCTGCATGCGCCTTCAAACTCGATGCTTCGACGTATCTCTTTGGATAAGATTAAACTTTTGAATTTTGAAAATCTCCTTGTCTTCGAAGCGCCAAATATCATAAATGTGACGGTCGAAATATCCTTTCTAATACTTCGAATAACTTGAATCCCAATGGTTTGCACACGAATTTTTTCGCCAACACTTAGTGAAAACAAAGCTTTTATTAGCTTTTCATCTATCAAAATCTTCATAAAGACTTCTTTATTCTTTCTTTCGAAACTACATATTTCAAAATATATCATTTCAGCTAAAAAAACTCATGTAGTCGAAATTCTCAGTCAACAGAGGGACCGAAATGGGTTTTCACTCTTTTCTAAATCAATTTAAATGAATGTATGTTCATTGAAGGGTTAGTGAAACAATCGATCTATATACGATATAACAAAATCAACTGGATCTTCTATCAATCTACATAAGAATTTAATGCTTCAAGATTCACAAAAAAAAAAACTTTGCTAAGTCGCAAAAATGTTTTTTTCTTGTGACTTAGCAATATTTTGTTCTTGTTCTGAGAAACATTTACCAACAACAACACACAACTATATTTATCATCAAAATAACAACAATATACAAAAACATATCAACTCATAAAATGTTTCACTAATGTATCTTTTTATTGAAAAGATTCGTAGAAAATGAAGACGGGGAATGATCTACTTGTCTTAGAATGAACATAAGTTGATCTACTTTATGTTTCTATGAAGAAAAAATACAAGACAGATGAAGCTTCTACAATAGCTCATACTTCTTGTATTGTTTCTCCATAGTAACAAAAACCATTTGTGAACTACACTCATAATATTCACTTTCTTAAGTTAATTTTTCTCATTCACTTTCCCTACAAGACAAAAAATACCATGTCAAATATAAGCAGATTTGAAATCATCAACGTAGTAAGCACTTATATGTGGTAATACTAAGATTAGAATTTAATATGGATTCGTTGCAAATTCATATAATTTTAGACAGAGTAAGTAATTCCAATAACTAGCAACAGAAACGGAAATTTCAACTTGCAATGACACAATGGAGTATCTTTCCTTAATTAAAACAAGTGTATCCTTTGTTCTTGATTCTCTTCTTCAACTTGCCATTATTGTCCTTGTTTATCTTTTTCTCCAAAAGATGCAGTCATAATATCTCTGTCATTTTTGGGACGATATATATTCTACAACCCACTAATCAACACTATACACTTTTCCTTCTATATATTGATCTATTTCTCATACAATTGTATAACCAAATATAGAGAAAGTCTAGTCTTTTCTTCTCAAGGAAACCAAACCAAACCATCATTTCATTTTCTCTTCTTGTTCAAATGGCATCTTGGACTGCAAGACAAAACAAATTATTTGAAGAGGCACTTGCTATATATGACAGGGATACACCTGACAAGTGGCACAATGTTGCTAAACTGGTCGGAAAATCCGTTGAGGATGTTAAAAGGCATTATGAACTACTCAAAGAAGATATCAGGCGCATTGAGCGTGGTGAGGTTCCTTATCCATATAAAGGTATGACATTCCTATTTTTAAATTTCACTTTTTTATTTAACAAACTTATGCATTAATTTTTCAATATATGACAATATAATACTTGAAACCTACATTATTTTTTTTATCGCCAATTTCTTTCTTCTACTAATATGTGTTTTTCATTGATTCTCAGGTTCATGATTCTTAAGAATCTATGATTTGCAGACTCAATGTTATGTGTATCCTTGGCAAAAAAATTGTATCTCCAAAAGTGATTCGTAAAAGAACTCGCTTTTCTTGTAAATTATTTATAGGTTGTGTTGTCATGTATACATCACCCAAATGAAATAAAATTGTTGTTATTTCTAAAATTTGTAGTATTAATTCTTAAATATATTATGTGTATAAAGAGTATTGCACTCTTTGTTCATGGTCATGCACTTAACTTGTAGTTAAAGGTGTTAATTTGTATCCGTTAGTATTAGTTTACGTGGGTATCGCTTATTTAAAATCTCAAAAATGAAGAATTGTTTTCTAGAAGGATGAGTGTAAGGATAAAATTTTCTCGAAGACACTTCAAAGACGGGGCAAGAAATATATATTTTTCCTCTCACAAAGTTTTTGTCACGTAGCTTCTATTTCGTGAAGTCTCTTTGAAAATATATAATTTTAAATTTATATGGTATTTTATTTTTCTTTTAATATATTATTTTTATAAAAACAAATAAAAAAGAGAGATCAACACAATAAAAAAGGTGTTTTAAAAAATAAATGGTGATGGTTTGAATTGTCACAATTTCACATTTGATACTATATAACCGTCGCAAAAAGTCGTCAAAAAATATCAAATAAATTAATGCCGGTTGACAATAATTTTTCATAGCGATTGACAACAGTTTTACAAACTGACATAGAACAATCTCTGAACATAAAGTTTTGGATCTTGTATACTCTAATTCATTTTAATCTATTAATTTTAAAATTGCAATTTTAGTCACTCAATTTTTCAAACTTGCTTGTCCTAAAGGAACAAACTTATAAAACAAGAACCAATAGTAAAATAATAAATTACTACCTTACTAAAGATAATCTTCAAATCGAATGCTTCTTATCAAAATAACTTCATGATTATGCTTAGAGGTTATTTTCGTTCCAAAAAATTCAAGCCAGATAAATTAAAAAAATCCCTCTAACCTTTAAGTTATGCTCAACTTTTCTCTCTTACTCACCAGTTTGGTCAAGTGATAATTAGTTAATCACTTAATCAACACAAATTTTATTTTATCAATGACTTGCAAAAATCATAAACAGTTCATCAAATCAAAATTAAAACACACATTTTTGAGATCTTAAGAAATGTAATGGGGTTAAGGTGGGTAGAAAGATTTAAAGTATCGATAAACATTTGTCTCAATGTGTGTAAAGCATGACAATTAACTTATAAAGAAAAGTCTCAAGTTATAGAAAATACACAATGCATGGATAGATTCGTAAACAAAAAAATGTAAACATTGAAATATTTTACTCAAATGCTTCTTTAACATCATTTGCTCGACACTTTATCACCCAAGTTAAGAAGGATGCTTCACACTTGAGGCACCAATAACTTTGTCTTTAATAATCAAGGACATGTGTTGCCCAACTTTATTCTTTGACATAATGAGATATGATAGCTTGATTCAAGATTACCCGACTTGATTTGACTTCATAAGTTATTTCATCCTTCTCTGGAACCATGACCTATCTTATATCAATTTGCCTTTTTCCTTTACCACAAATATCACACATCTATTAATTGTTCTTAATGTTTTTCTTGTTTTGGTTAAGACTAATATTATGGTTGACCATTAAACTTTATCCTTAATGGCACCTTTCGTATTGAAGCACATAAATGTTGTAACAATCAAGTTTCTTATCATGTTGATGCAAGAGTTCATGTTGATGCAAGAGTTCATAAGCCTTGAAGATAATCTTCTCATATAGAAACAGGAGCATGAGCTTACATGTCTGCCAATCAATATTTTCTCTATAAGTTAATAATAATGTTATGTTAGGTGAAATGGAGGACCTGAACATCATTATCCATATCAAGAATGACATAATCAATTGAAAATACAAGGTTATCAACTTTTATTGAAATTCTGGTATCAGATATGTGATGTCGAAAGAGATGTCACGACACAAATATCTGAGGAACAAAGTAAAATGCAACAATAATAAAAACAGTAAAAACACAAAGGATTGTTAACTCAGTTCAGTGTACAACAACACCTACTCTAATGGCTACCAAGTCATGGACAAATCCACTAAATAGTATCAATTCATAGACCCTTAGTAAACAACCAGTTTACAATCTAATTACTTAATAACTACTCGTGTTATACTTCTACCTAAGACTTGCCTAGGTATGAGGCCCTCCTCAAATCTCTTCAATCACTTACAGTGAAGAAACAACAGAAATAATAAGTTTAAAAACTTCAATCATTCAATGCTTAAAAGCTTATGAATGATACACAATTAACAATCAAAATAATAACACAAGTATTAAATCAATACTAGAGTGTTTGACAATTAAAAGACTTAGACTTCTAAAACATAAAGAATGTATTCTTCTTCAAAAGTTGCAGTAGTCTGAATAAGGAAGCAAGTCCTTATATATGCGTAGCAGTGGGCTTGGGCTGAAAAATAAATATTCAAATCTTTTGAATATTTCCATGAAAACAGGCCAAGATATAATCCATAAAGATGATTCAAATCCTGAACTATGGTGCGCAGGAAATCAGGAAACATAAAACTTAAACTAATATTGGGCTGAGTTTAATTCAGAAGGAAGATGTCAAGACATTTGCTTTGACATCATTCAAAACAGTTTTGCTTCAAATGTTAAGACATTTAGCAAAATATTATCAAGTCATTGTTTTATCAAAATTGATGCCAACAAACACTTACATTTACTAACACATCTTCCATCACACCATAAGTGTATACGATTGACATGTCTTCTAGTCTCAATGTCATTTTTGTTAGTTTTTCTTCTTCTGTTAATTTTGTCATTGTGTAGAGTGACATCATATTGAAGCTAGATTTCGAATAAAAAGAGATCTTTCAATTTTTTTAATTTTCAATAGTGTCTAGAATACTGAAATTACCATTGTATTTTCAATTTTTTAATTTTATATAGTGTCTAGATTACCGAAATTACCTTACTCTCTTAACTTATGTAGTAGGTAAAAGAACAAGATTAGTTATGACCTATCTCAAGAGTTTTGATGATAACTAAATTATATTTAAGATTATTTATGCTCTGATGAATGTGTTTTGAGTGTCTTAGTTAATGTTATGACATAAAACATTCTAAAGTACTAAGCAAAGATTATGAAGAAGTTCTTTGATAAAAGAACCTTTTACTCAAACGCATCTGCTGACTCTGGTAAGACACTTTATTTGTTAAATATATCTTCTAACTTCTAGGCAGTGCGTTGCTTGCTAAGAACTTTGAACAGCGTTTGCTTTCAAGTTATCTTTTGAACAAGAAGCCTTCTAGAAGTTAGAAGATATATTTAACAAATAAAGTGTCTTACCAGAGTCAGCAGATGCGTTTGAATAAAAGGTTCTTTTATCAAAGAACTTCTTCATAATCTTTGCTTAGTACTTTAGAATATTTTCTGTCAGAACATTAACTAAGACATTCAAAACACATTCATCAGAGCATAAGTTATCTTAAATATAATTTAGTTATCATCAAAACTCTTGAGATAGGTCAGAATTAATCTTGTTCTTTCAATCTCCCCCTTTTTTATGATGACAAAAAATTATTTTAGATAAAGAAAAGAAACGGATTAAGAGATAAGAATCTCCCCTTGAAATGAATATTTCTATGCATAAGACATCCTGAGATTGTTTAGTCAGAGTAATACACAACCTTCTTGAATTTCTTCAGAGCTTGACTCTGAGCACAACACTTAACCGTGTCAGGAAAAGATCCAGAAGAAAACACAATGGCTGCTGAACAAAACAATAATAGTTACAACAAACCTCCAGTGTTTGATGGAGAATATTTTGAGTACTGGAAAGATAGACTAGAAAGTTTCTTTCTAGGTCATGATAGTGATCTTTGGGATATAGTCTTGGATGGTTACAAACATCCTACAGATTCAGAAGGAAACAAAGTGGATAGAAAAAATATGGATAGACAACAAAAAGCTGATTTTAAAAATCATCACAGAGCTAGAAATATTTTTTTAAATGCTATCTCTAAAGTAGAATATGAAAAAATCACTAATAGAGATACAACGCATGATATGTTTGAGTATCTCAAAATGACTCATGAAGGAAATGCTCAAGTTAAGGAGTCTAAAACTCTGGCTTTAGTTCAGAAGTATGAAGCCTTCAAAGTTAAAGAGAGTGAGTCTATAGAAGCAATGTTCTCTAGGTTTCAAACTCTGATCGCTGGTATGAGAGTTTTAAACAAAGGATATACCAAAGCAGATCATGTGAAAAAGATCATCAAAAGCTTACCCAGAAGATGGGCACCAATGGTCACTGCCTTCAAGGTGTCAAAAGATCTGAACAATGTGTCTCTGGAGGAACTCATCAGCGCTCTCAGAAGTCATAAGATTGAACTGGATGAGCATGAGCCTCAGAAGAAAGGTAAGTCTCTAGCCCTTAAATCAATTAAGAAATTTGATAATAACGCTTTTCAGGCTAAATAAGAAAACTCTGAAGAATCAACCTCAGAAGAAGACGAACTATCTTTGCTCTCCAAAAGGATCAATCATCTGCGGAAGCACAGACAAAAGAAGTTCAGGAACTTCAAGAAGTCAGAAGATAAACCAGAATCTTCTGGACAGAAAAAGTCAAACAGAAGAGAGATCATCTGTTATGAATGCAAATAACCTGGTCACTTCAAAAGTGATTGTCCAAAGCTTCAAAAAGAAAAACCAAAGAAGATATTTGGAAAGAAGAAAGGAGTGATGGCAACCTGGGATGACTCAGATTCTTCTGAAGATGAATCTGGTTCTGAAGATGAAAATGCCAACCTAACTCTGATGGCTATCATAGAAGATGACTCAGACTGTAAGTCAGAACAAAGAGAGGTATTTTCTGAATTTTCTAGAGAAGAACTTGTTGATAGTTTATCAGAACTTCTGGAAAACTATAGTAAGCTCAAAATCAAATACAAGAAACTCAAGAAGAGTCTT